AAACACGGGGAATCCACACAGGGTTAATGAGGGGGCGTGACACACGGAAGGAGCGGACGATCGGGGCAGGACAATTACAGAGAGGAAATTTCAGTCATGGAAGGAGTTCTCTTCAAAAATTAGAGGATTATTGTTCAGAAACAATGAGAGGTGAGATGTTGAAACAAAGTCATTAAAGTCACCTAGGAGTACAGAGTTTCAGGCGGAGAGCGAGAGATTTGTCTTTCTGGCCTGGAATGTCTAAGAGCATAACAGACATGGTGAACAACTGTGATGTGTGCCTTACATTCAAAAGGTTTCAAAACAAGGAACCACTTCTTCCCAATAGTGCACCTGAAAACCTGTGGCAAAAGTTAGGTGTTGACTTATTTATGTTTGACCAGCAAGACTATTTCATTTTGGTGAATTATTACTCTAAATTCATTGAAATTGAGTGGCTGGAGACACACACACACACCACTAACATCATAACGAAGATCATGCTGAAAAAGACTAAGGCTGCAGGAAGAGATCCTTACCTTGCTGTGCTGAACTGGAGCTGTATCCCAATGGAAGACATTGGAGCATCACCAGCACAGCTGCTGATGGGCAGGTGAAAAAGAACCTCAAAAACTGCTAAAGATGCACATACCAAATAGTTCAGTGAAAAGTTTGTTAGAATCCAGGAAAAGGAGGCAGAAGAAATACTTTGATCAAGGGTTCCAGTTGCTTCAACAGCTTCAGGTAGGAGACAGTGTAAGACTGGCAGGATAGCGTGTGGCACAAGACATGGGTTACAGCACTTGATAAACACCCCAGATCTTATGTGGTACAAACACTGGATGGACATGTGCTCAGGAGAAAACAAAAGTTTTCTCTGGATGAATACCAAGCAACAAGATAAGGCTCTTCTGCACTCAGACAGTAAGTGACAGGATTATTGTGACAACTCCTGCACAACAAAAGAACAAGACATTTAAAACAACACACCTGAAAGAAGTGTCAGTCCAACAGGGTCCGAAATGCTTCCTGTTAAGACGGCAAGTGGATGTGTAATTGTGAAACCAATGAGGCTTATTGAGGAATAGCCTCGTTATCTAGTAACTACTTTACATTCTTAGGTTCAGTACCATACCTTGCCTCTGAATGCTGTTTATTAATAGCCAGTCCTGTTCATGAAAAAAGAAAGAAAACATGCACCTGTAATGCTGAATGTGCTGTCCTGCTGGCTTAGTGCATGTGAATATGTTGTCAACTGATCACTACCTGGTGGTGGGTTGGGCTTTCATCAGAAGTAATCATACTGCCAGTTTTTGGCTCAGGTCCACTACAGGATCCATAATTGTAGCAATTGTCGTCATTTCCATAACTTTATGGAAGTTTTATGGGGTGGAGTCATTCGCCCCACGCCCAACCCGGGGGACCAGGTGCTGAATTTCATCTGGTCTCTATACTGAAACCTGCCCAGCTTGGTTGAACCTGCCAGGAGCAAAGCCCCCACCGTTATAGCTCTCAGTGGTCATCGAGACGCACAAGCCTCCCCACCACGACAACGTACCAGCACAAGAAGAGGGGGAATAATCATGAATGAACTAAAACCATAGAACTAAGCAAAATACAGGGAATAGAACTGAGAATTAGGCAGCTGAACAGAGTAACAAACCTGCAGTAACATTCACAAATACTCACTAAGGGACTGATCACAGGCAGGCACTTAAATATACAGGAACACCAGGGAAAACAATGAACAGGTGCAAAGTATAATCAAATTAACAAATCATAAAGGAATAACTACAACACACACTAGGAACAAAAAACAAAAATGAAACAAAACAGGTGAGGCTGGTCTTGAATTTGTGATTGTAGTGTTGCAGCTTTTGTGCCACACTCTCAACCCCCTGAGTCATGTGGCAGTCTAGAGAGCAGGGAGTTAGACAGGGAGTACCAGGCGGGATATCCATGGACACCTGCTGACCAAATAGGGTAGAGATACGAAGGGCAAGGGCAGGTGGGTGCTGACGCTGACACTAATGAATAACACAAGTGATATGCTGATCTCATGTTTGTTCATCATTGTCAGGGTCGGTGTCTCTCCCATCTGTTTTGTCCCCATTTGATTTACTCTGCTTATGCCCTGTTCTACTTTGTTTTGTTTGTTCCTAGTCTTCCATAGTGTTAGCCCTCAGTGTTGCCAGTGTATACTAGTTCCTGTGTTTGTTACTTGCTTATTTTGATTTGTTTGTGATGGTCTACACCTGCCCTTTGTTAGTCTTCGTTATCTAAGTATTTAAGTGCCCGCCTTTGGTCAGTTCCCCAGTCAGTTGTTATAGGTGTTACTTCGTGTCTGTAGCTGTGGTTATTTCTTAGTCTTGCTCCCTGTTTTGTTTAGTTCCATTGTGGCGTTACTTATGGTTTATTTTAGTTAGTTCTTCGGTTTTCCGTTTCGTTTTGTATTGACCCCCTTTTTTTTTGTTGGAGCCATTCCATGGATCATCACTCTCATCCCCACTGTCACCATGCCTCATTGTAACAATCATTAATAAATCATGATGCACCTTGTATCTGAAGTAGCAACTATATTTCTTTATGATTTGCTCATAATTTATACTTCAGTAGTAATTAAGTTATTTCTAAGTATCTGAGCACCATCAAGTAGAGTGTTACCATTTTAATTATGTATAGCTTCTTTATAAATCCTAAATTTATCATATAAATGTGCCTACAAATGTTTATCTTATCTTATTCATTCATACAAAGCCTTTATAAATGAGCCCCCTGTTTTCTGGAATACCCCCTTGGGTGTGGAAATAAGCACAATCCAATTGGTTTTCACTAGGCTGATGCTTGTTTACATTTTTGAGAGGACGCTTGAGTTTTCTTGAGTTACATTTTTGAGAGTTCTTTGCACTTGTTTTCTGTTAATATGTGTCATATGCAAGACTAAATTGTGGTTTTATTTATATTTATTTAAATATTGAGAGGCCAATCTTGCTTTCTCGCTGTGTGTGTGTGGGTTATGTAATCTCCTCACAATGAGATAAATACATGCTGTTTTGATGTGGGGACCATTTTTTGGTCCCCACAGGGGGAAACAATTTAATAAAAATCTGTGAATGCAATAAAAAAATGCCAAAAGAGCGGGTGTACTGGGGGGGAGCATGAAAATCTTTATGCACTAAAGGGGAGCCTGAGCAAAAAGTTAGAGAGGCACTGGAACCAGTTTAAGGTGAATTCATTTCCATAATTCGTAAAAACATACAGTGAAAGTACATGTGTCTTTTTAGTTACATTTAAATTTTGGTTTTATGTGTTCGTTATATAAGGCAAAAGTATTTAATTCCCATTGCCTTTTAGGTAAGCAGAGACAAACGTTTCAGCTTCACACCCACAAAATCACTATTTTTATTAACTGACACAAGGTGGCAGTCTGGTTCAAGCCTGCAACCCACCGACAGCCTAAGCTAAAAAAAAAAGAAAAAGTAAATAATTTATGTGATAAAGAGTCGGCCTACTGATGACATGTTTAATAGTATATACTATTTTAGTCCAAAATGGGGGGAAATGTCAATATGTTGAAACTGTCAAAATTAATGTAAGTCTAACTATTATGCACTGACTGCAGACACTAGGCCAGGCTTCCCTAGTTCGGTTCTGGAGGGTCAGTCTGCAACACAGTTTGCAGATTTCCCAGCTCAGACACACCTACTAAACCTTACAATTGGCTGGCGAGCTGAACATAGTGTGTTTGAGCAGGGAAACCTGCAAACTGTGTTGCAGACTAGCCCTCCAGGATTGGAATTGGAATAGGCCTACAGGGCTGCCAGTTCTCACACATCTGGCATGACACTCGCTGTCAGACTCTTACACTCATGCAAAAAAATCTTACAGCAAGTCTATATTATTCCATTATAAACCTAAAATTGACTACATCAAATGTGTTAGGGTAGTCTGCAAACCGTACAGACTATTTACAAGTTAGTAAAACTCTTACATACATGTAAATGCGTGTGCAGCCTTCTCCTGAATTGGAAATCTCAGACCGGCCTGGGCCTATAGTAAAGTCATATTACTATTAGTTTTCAACGGTAAAAACAATTAGCATGGGCTGCGGCAGGATTAATAGTCTGTCGTTGAAAATGGGGAGAATTGGATCATAATACTGTATAAAAAAATGCTTTGTTCTTATTTTCCACCGATTTTTGTTTTTGTTGACGTTTATATTGGTGTGTAAGTAGGTTATTTTGATTAGTTATCAAAGAATATTTAGTTAAAGTATCAAAGGTTATTTTTTTCGCAGATTGTTTTTAAATTTTGAAATTAAATTTATATTCTGCACTTAACACTGTGGCCCATGAAGCTCAATTTTCACGAATGTTTATTGAGGTAGGTAAAGAGCATGTAAATCACACATAGTGAAAAATTTCCATTTTTATGAAATACATTAAAGGTAATTAAACGTTACAATGTGTTTGGTTGTAGCGCCAATGACAAGAAATTTTTACAACCTAGATATCTCCCAATATTTCTCCCTTTATTGTGCTGAAGCACAAACACGATGCGATTAAAGTAAGCAAAGCATTGATCTAGCGCACATGAAAAATATATATATAACATTACTGGCCATAGGACAGACTGGTTTAAGTTTTAACATAACTATACATATGAATTATGAGTTGTGATAAATTTATATAAACCCAGTGTGTGTTTATGCATACACATTTCATTGTATATATAACGTTACAATTAATCAAATAAGATGTATATAAAATGAACCCGGTCGCCGTTAAATTAGAATTAGCTCAGCTAGGCTACCTTCTGCAGGGGATATCGAAGGCCGTGTGTCGCAATTATAATAATCGAAAACTAAAATGCGCCTATATATTTCCCGTCCCTCTCAGTTTGTTCCAAATATACAGTTTAGCAGGATATATGAAAGGCTAGGATCAAATCAACACGTCGGCGCCCGCCATTGTAAAACAGGTTGGGGCGCAGAGAGCGGCAGCGGGAGGCGCTGAGATGATGCTGGCCAGCCTCCCGGAGCTGCTCCCGGTCTATTTACGCGTACAGTCGACGCAGAGACTCGGCGAGAGCAACAGCTTCGCGATCTCCTGCAACACATCGCACGTTTGGCCACCATCGGTCCTTCAACGTCGGTCCGCCAAAATATTAGTGAAGCGACTATACATTCATATGGTGCAACGCTAAAAATTACATGGGTTCATGCCCTATTGATTTAGATGAAGTGGTTCTTTTGCTTACATCGGGAAATCTATGCTTTGCCTGTGGAAAGTGAGCGCAGCTGTCTGTCATATGCCGTTTTACGTCTGAATTCAGGTGAATCCCATAATTTGTGCGAAAATCCTCTGAATGAAAAGGGGTTATTTCTGAAGCAAACGGTGCAGTCGGTCATTGAATGGAAAATCGTGCACTGAATTACTAGACCATACAAAAATGAATATGCACCTCACACGACTGGAAGGATATAACTGGGGCATGTTTTTTCCAATACATTTCTGGATAGCCGATTGTAAAGTAATGGAGGACACGCATTAGTTTAAGAAAAATTCTCGGATATAACAAAAAGGTACGGTGATTCCGCATGTAATTTTTACATCGAACTTCCATATTCCTCAGTAAATATAAATTATACGCCCGAGTCTGCCCGGACGACGCTGGAAAAAACTGCTTTAATTATTCGTAAGTGATTTTATTTATTTATAATGGAATTTGAAGTCATAACGCGTAGTTATAACGGCAGATAGGGGCAAATAGAGCGTTTACGGTGAATAGTTTCAACGGAGTACGTCGAACAGCCATCCGCAGCATAACAACGCTACGGCTTTTCGGGTCAAGCGCAGATACGCGGTCGCTATTATGCCTGTATTCGCGTTTTGTTACGGAATTCAGTCGCCTTATTGAATGAACTGTGCACTGAAATTAGGAGACCATATTCACCGTATTGGCGATTTTTGACGTCTGTATTAAAATTATGCAATATCGATGTTGAAAACAATTCGGCCGATACGCCGCACAGTGAGTGTAGCGATTGTGACAATGCGAGGAGTGCGGACAGAATAAAGTCTGTGTGGCTCCATTACTCTTGTTAAACCTGCGATGTTATGTTTACGGATGTAGTCAAAAAATCGCTTCATCCCAATTCTCCGTGCAAACACATCGCAGTAATCGTTTGAAAAGCAGTGAGATTTCCTGCTGGCATTGTGGCATGCTGTGAGGCTGGAGCGCACAGTTCCATTAAACACAGACGGGCGTGAATATGCAGTGAAAACAAGAGATTTCTTTTTTTTGCTTCATCGAGATATCCATTTTAAGGCGAAAGGAAACCCTTTTAGATTACCGCGATGCCTGCATTTCGTTTCGGATCGTCCTTATATATGTTTATACTGTGGATACGGTCTGTGGCAAAATGGTGTCTTAACAACAGGAAAACCGACCAAATTGTTTGACAATGGAATCTTACCCAGCAATGCTTGCCTAAAATATCTCTGAAGACACATAATTGTCGCTATCCCCAACAAGCCTTCCCCATTATTCTGTTAATTTTCCCCATCTGATCCAGGGAGGCGAATCCAGCACATCTGGAGGCAGTTTCCACGGCACGAGGTGCTTATGGTGGGGCACCGTCACCCCTGCGTGGCAGCACCCCTCTGCGAGGCAGCACCCCCCTGTGTGGCATCCCGTCACAGCCCGTCACATCACGGAGTGGCTGAGGACGTGGTGTCTCTCTTCTCAGTGTCTCAGAGGCCCACAGCACAGTGTCTCAGTGGAGGGCTGATATCACACCTGACCATTCTCCAGCTGAGCTGGAACCCAGGACCAGCTTTATTGAAGACTTTTCAAAGTCGACCAGATCAAGCAGACGGTAGCTGTTGGCTTCCTTGCTGCCGTCAGCCTGGCCGTATTTCTGGCCTCCCTCTCCGGCCTCCTTGTTAGCGAGTCCCGTGTCACCAGTAGACCTGTGATGGCACGCCCCAACTCCGGGGTGCTGGTCTCGGGCAACGGGCTGGGCTACCCTCCTCAGAACACCGCGCGGGTGGTGGTTTGGGAGTGGCTGAACGAGCACGGGCGTTGGCGTCCCTACGGTGCGGCCGTGTGCCACCATATAGAGAACGTTCTGAAGGGAGATGCTCGTGGCACTGTGGTACTGGGCCAGGTCGATGCCCAGCTGGCACCTTACATCATCGACCTACAGTCTATGCATCAGTTCCGCCAGGACACTGGTAAGTCACATGGCTTTGGTTAGTACCGTATGATTTCAGGATGGAGCATTTAAGAGCTTGGCACAATGATATGTTCTGGTATTATTTCCTGTGGGAATGAGCAAAATTGGAAAACCGAGCTTTTCACATAGAGAATACTAATTTCCAAATCCTGGTAGTGAAGACTATTGAGTACAAAATATATATAATCTGATGATGACATTTTTCCTTTCATTTTTTCCATCGTCCAGTTTAATGCCATGGTGATTTCATGAGGATGTTGTTAGCAAAATAACTATATCTAAATAGTATCATATTTAGTTTGTGGGATGGATCTTGCTTTTTCAGGTTAATTGGTAAAGGAAAAGGATCTTTATTACCGTGTTTAAAAAAGATTAGTCCAATCTAGTATTTCCTGTGCACCCCAAAAAGTTTCAAGTGTCTGATAGTTCCTGGAGGTCAGCTGAAGATCAGAGCGTAAGCTCTGTTTCAGCAGAATAGCCTATTAATGACCCTATTAATCAAATGTAGAGGAACAGCAGGGTGTCAGGCGAGAGGAGCCGGAGCTCCAAGTGATGTCAGCGAGCACATTCACAGTGCCGTCTGCTGCTCTGGCAGCAGCCTCTGAGGAATCACAGCAAAGGAAACATTTATCAGCACCAAAGGAGAAGGTGGCCACAAAGATCTTGATGTTTCCCTTCCAAATGCCCCCATAGTAGAGTGGCTGTGATATATTGAGGGATCAGAGTCTCCCCATATTTGCCGCGTGTTTTTTTTGTTGAGTTTGCTTTAAATTTCAGAGTACTATGCACATATTACTGTTGGTTTATGTTTTTTTTTTTATGGGTAAGTTAAAGCGTGTTCCTCATGTTGGGGCTGCTCCCCCTGGCTCATGGGAAAGGGCCCTCAGCTAGTAGCATTGTGCCAAATAAACCCCGATCAGCTGCAGTCTCCGAGAGCGTGGCTGTTATCACAGGCTAATCAATGTCTCAAGGGAATTTCTCGTGTAAAATTATCCATCTGTATATATGGATAAAACCATCAAAGAGAAGTGAGTTTCGGTTAAGCATAAGCATAAAACGAATCAGTCAAGCAAGTTCTACAAAAGTTGCATGTAGTGATGTCCGAAGCTTATATCAAAGATCAGAATCGGGGCCGATCTAGGTACTTTTTAAATTGATCAATCTCTGGTACCACAGCCTGATCTATGTAATTTCTTTACGTCAGATTGTACGGTTCCATCATACACTACAGTAAACCTGAGGCACTTTGCTTGAAACTACAAACTATCAAGATATTAGCCATGTAGAAATTCTTAAAATTTACCTAACAGCTACCTGCAATGTTTGCAAAGCTTTTTGAGAAGAGGTAGCAAGAGAGCACCTTTTAATACAACAGATGTAATTAGGTACTTGCAGAATGTACTGTATGTGTATGTATATTTAAATATTTAGTTACATTTCAGATATAAATAATGAATGAATCAGACCAGGGTACCAAAAAGTGGATCAAGACATCGCTAGGTGCAGATACAGCAGTAGGAATGGTGGCAGACATGTGAAATAGATTGAAACCAGTGACCATTTGAGGAGCACTGGGATGGACTATGAAGGTAGTAGTTTTCATTAGAGGCTCTTCATCTTCTTTATGGCCCAGATGGTCTGTAGTGAGGTTATTGCATTGATACATTTACATCCTTGAGTTGACATGAGCTTCACTCCTGCTCCATATATCATATAGTGTTGAGGTGGCTGACCAAGACTTTATGACCCCATGGATGTACAGGGGTTCCCCGCCATCCCAGAATCACAGGCAATAGGTGGGAGGGGCAAGGAACCAGGTGCATAACCAGTAGGAGGCAAACTTCTACAGAGGTCTTAGTACTTCCAGCACATGGCCAGATGCAACATGCCCTCTGTCTCCAGGCTTTCCATGAGTGTGTGGGGGGGGGGGGGGGATGTTTATTTTACATTGTGGGGAGGATTTATGACCCTGTGAGTGATTGAGCTGCAAGTTTCCTTGACCTGCTTTGTGGTTCTCTGGGGGTTTGTGCATTGGCTCGAGAGAGAGGTTTATGTATAAACATGGCCACTTTGCTTCTTTACTCGTGTTTGTCACTAAAATGTGGCAGGCGCTCAAATAAAGGATACGTCATGCTCCAAGGGATCTCCCGGGATGTGCTGGCAGGCAGACCCATTTACCAGAGCTGCATGTTTTGGCAACAGCTTTGTGTGTGTGTCTGGGTGTGTGTCTGGTTATGAATGTATGTGTACGTGCATAAAGAGGACTTCACAGTTTGAAGTTCAATCATTTTCACAGTTTCGCATGGCATGCTCATATTAAGATGGCAAACGTTAAGAAAGTGACGTCAGCCATCGGCATTTGGCAGAGCCTATGTTCGGATGTGCCTGTGAGAATTGTTACTTTGCACTGGGGTGGCGTTCCCTCTCATTGCAGTCACCTGGCTGTCCTTCCCCTTCTGTTGCTGAGCCTGTTATCCCCTCGATACTATCCGTTCTCCCCACGTGCTCCTGCTTTGCTGGAAGTGTAGGCAGCTGGCAGGTTTGCCTCTGCAGCCTCTCTCATTAAAGACTGTGGTACTGCTCACTTATCTTCTCAGAAATGTGCCTCCTTTGTCTCAGCAGTCTGCTGTCCTGCTCTGCTCCATCCAAGGTAACTGTCCATAGCAAAGTGGCCCTTGTCTCCCTCGATGTCGACACAAAGCAGGGATCCGCCTGCTGCTAGTTCTGCTGACTCTGCTGGGCCCATGTTACACTGGTATTAAGGCTCTCATTGATCGGTGAGCAGGCTTCATTAGTGGTAAACAGAAAACGGCTTAAGTATAATCAGATTTAATGCCAACATTCAGGTCAGTGATGTTTCGGATCTTATTTTGTGCTGCGGCGCGCCCTGCATTTCACGGGTTCAAAGACAATGCTGTTAAAATGGATGTGCGACTTTGACTCGCCCTTTGATTCACTGTGTGTGAACACTGTCCCTTCCGGCATGTTCTCCACCATGCACCCTCTGTGTCCAGAGAAGCGCTCTGGGTCAGTGGGACTCAGATTGTATCAGTGGTTACTGAAAATAGGCAAGTACTTCGATTGATGAACGCGACGCGCGTGTTCGCTTGGAGAGATGTCATTTATTAGTTGACGTCAACACAAATGGCAGACTTCTCTTAATGACGTTCGTATTCTCGCCAGATATATGTGCACTGCGCGAAGAAGGTGAGATACATCTCAGTGCCAACAGGCAGAGATAAGCTCTGGAGCAGACAGGGGGGGCAGTGGCTCATAGATTAGCTGGGCGAAGGCGAGGCAGAGCAGCCCATGCAGTCAACCTGAAAGGCATATCAGCAGGAGGAAAAAAAGCCCCCCCCCCCCACTGTAACTGGTCATGTGATATGTGATGGCGGTCAGCCTAGGGGGCATGAGGTAAGGATCATCCCTAATCTCCCCTCTTACTGATAATGATGTAGGGCACTGAGTCCCATGTCCAGTGGCTGCAGTCAGCACATCCTGAGATTGCTGCCTGTAATCTCCGCCCCCTGGGTCGGGCATCTTATTTGTTTAGCTGTTGCCGCCTCCATGCGCGGCTTCTGTTCACACCTCTAGCCGTTGCCATTTCACAGCAGAGTGTGGCATCACCGTGCCGGTGTGAAGAGCTAGCTGGCTGCTGGGACACTGCCCCGCTGGGTCCACTTCACTCCTCCTCCTCATCATACTCCCATCAAGCCGAATGCCGGCCGCCCGAATCTCGGAACGCTGTCTGATTTGTGCGTGCATTGGGTGGGGCTGTAGAACAGCCCCGGAACACTGAGGCCTGGCCTCACTGGAGCGCTTTGATGTGGGACACCACTGCTTCCATGACGCTGTAGCAACGTGGTGTCGCCATGTCAACCGTGGACGTGTGTTTTACGCAAACAGTCCCCCAAGCAATCAGAAGGAATTTAGCATGTGGTAGGACCAGCACATCATCAACATCCCTTGACACAGACTGGACTGCCAAACCGATATTGCAGTTTTGCTGGCTGATATTAATTGTCAGCATCGATCAGCCTGAATGTCTGCCTTGGCTGTGGTGCTGGTGCTCATAGGGAGTCCATCTTATGTGACACATCTGTTTTAAACAGGGTGTTTGAAAAACAGCTTTTGACTGCCCATTTGAATCTGTCTGACCAATCTGCTCCAAGCTGGCCCATGAGCAACAAAAGTACAGGAAAAAGATGGCAGCTTTTCAGCATGCATTGGTTTGGTTTCTACCAAACACCTGGATTCCCATGGTACGTCTGGCTCCTCACATGGTACTGATGGCGACCCGAATGGATAGGTCTGGTGACCCGAATGGATAGGTCTGGCAACCCGAATGGATAGGTCTGGCAACCCGAATGGATAGGTCTGGCAACCCAAATGGATAGGTCTGGTAACCCGAATGGATAGGCACCATTAACCCTCCATAACAGTACACCAGACTGGCACATGACTGGCAGGAACCGCAAAAAATCATTTTGTGGAAGACGAGAGCAAATGGTAATTTACAGTGTAACAGAATGGAGCTAAACGGGCCACTGCGAGGAGGGCAGACATAGGGGCTGTCATGGGGATTTCCTTAACCACGAGAGTGTTTGAGCAGTATGTCTGAAAGGCAGATTATTCAGGGATCAGGGAGGATGGAGAAGCCTCAGCTTCCTAAGGCAGGGAGGGAGGAGTTCAGTAGGAGGCCAAAGGGGCGTGTGCCATGGGGGAGGCCAGGCAGCCCCTGCTGGGATGTGAAAGCAGTACTAATCACGGAAGAGCTGCACTCTCCTCCCATTGGGTCTGCTACTCAATGCAAGAGCTGCCAGAAATGGACAATGCTGGCTGCCTCACCCACCGCGTGTTGGGAGACTCCTGGGGCTCCTGCCTCACCCAGTGCATGATGGGAGATTCCTGGGGTTCAGTCTAACAGGAAGCCAGTGGGTCCTGAAGTGGGGTGCAAATGAGGGAGCATTTTAAGTCAGCGAGCCGTGCCCATCAAGG